GAACATATTCTAGCATGTGCCTGGTATGAAACTCGGTCTTTGGAAACCTATGAAAACATTTTTCTCTTTATTCCGTGTGATTTGCACGGAGCGGTTATAATTACCCCATGAAAAATAGCAGTGTGGTTATAATTACCCCAGTTCGTGTACATCGAAAAAAATGACTTGTCTGGCATAAAATACAATTTGAACAACTGAAAAATGAGTTATTCAAAGACATAAACAACAGAGAATGTGTGCTTTGCTTCGAATTTTTTGAAGAACAAATGCCTCAGATAGAAAACTGAGAAGTTGAAGAACTCATTTTATATTCATCCGTTTTCCGAAAAACATAGCTTTGCATGTTTTTGAAAAACTCATTTATGTTTATCTATTTGCATCAAATGAAAAACACGTTTCATGTTTTCTGAAGAACACGCTTTTGTACTGTGTAGTGTTTTACACTCTGTTTAAAGACACATTTCCACTGAGCAATGCAAAAACTGTTTAATTTCAATTTTATTCATCATATCTAAAAGCCCAAACTATTTCTCCATGAAATATTGAGGAAGTACTTATCTAATTGAGTAAAGAAAAAACAAAGAGTGCCTAATCATTTTCTGACCAGGATCAGTTCATACTATGGGTTTCAGAATTGGATCATTATTTCTCTATTCTGTGTTAGTTTCTCGCTTTATCGTTTGATTTTCAAAACATTAGCTTCTTGTTTTATATGCGTGCTGCCAAAAACGGCGAATATTATTCAGAGTGTTTAATTTTATTATTCAGAGTTGCTCGGCAAAACTATGGTTATCGGATAAATCTCGACTTGTGCGAGCTCAAATGATTCTTTCAAAGTTATATAAACAATTAATGGAGAACATACTCTCATTCAGCTCCATCCTTTTTCTCGCTTTTCGGCTGAAAACTCTAGTTTTCCATCTTCATTTCATTTTTTTCCACTCAGAATTCCTCAAAGTTAAAAAATATTCCAGAAATTCTTGTTCGAAGCAACTTGCTCGAAAAGTAAGACAGGATGGAGGCCCTTGTTTTGTCAAAGATGAACTAGTAGTTTTATCACAAGTAGTAGGTTATGTTTTTTGTGGATCTAACTATTTCACTGGGTAAACATTGTGAAGGACAGTATATAAAGCATTCTAAATAAGCTCATATTCCTTTTTGATCGATGTACTCGAAGAAGTGTACTTTCGTTATTCAACTAAATTTTTGCTTTCTGGTTTTATGCTTTTTCAATGTCCTTCTTGCTCTGGCATTTCACATTACTACAGGAATACTGTTTCATCTCTCTTCTTATGATAAATGAATATGTTATATACATCTGGAATATAAAATATAACCTGAACTTATGAATATAACCTTCTATTTGTTCAAGTCAACTGACGATCTATATGCAATGTACGTTACCTCTAGATCTGTTTTGGTTAGGTAACAAGATATCACCATATTAACGTATCCATACGTAAATCATGCATCATTTACGTATGGTGGGTAAATGAAATGCTACATGTAGCATTTTTGTATCTAACAAATTACTGATTTAAAAGATGTGTATTATTCTTAATTTTGTTTTCTTAAATATTTCCATACAGTAACCTATCTCTTATTTGAAATATTGTGTATCTTCATGGACACACAAGTTCTCGACAATTTTCATATAGATCTTTTTAAGTTGACGATATAACTAACGAAGAAAAACTAAATCAGTTGTGACACTGTGTTTATGTCTTGATTAACTGATATATTTATTTTCAAAATTCCAAGTAGTGAGACATGAGGTGCTTATTCTCATATCAATGAAAACCGGTAAGGTGTACAAATGCAAAAGTGGAGCAGAATTTGTTTTTCTTTGATTTATACTTGGATGGGTAGAGCTTGTGGAGTAGATTCCGAATATCATTTTTAATTTTTTTAGACCAAACTTTGGGCCAGAAATCTTGAAAATACAAGTTACTACCTAAAAAACGACAATTTGACGAGTTTCGAGAAAATTGAAGATTTCGTCAGTTTACGTTTACTCTAGGTTGTTGAAAATAATTTATTCGGATTCCACATCAGAAACTGAGTACGACTATGTAGGAGCGAGCGAATTTGACCGTGGTTGAAAACAAAAAGGGAACAAGCAAACCGTATTTTGACATTTTTTTTCAGCTTTGACCCAATTTCAGTTTTAACCTCATTATATAGGTAAGAAACAGCGTAGAATTCGATGGACACACCGAGAGATCTCTTCCGTCTATTGAGCATTATATAACTTAAAACATTATTATATTCCAACAGAAATCCCACAAACACCGACTGATATACCGTCGTCTGAATGTGGTTGCTATCATTGTTTGTACCACAAAATCGTTCAAAAACGGTCGATAAATCAAAAAAGAGGTCATCATACACAACATTTTGGCCAAAAAGGACAAATAAAACAACCACTGAATAATGAAAACAGCAAATAATCATTACGTATATTAACATTAAAAGTTAGCTTTCAATTCAAATATCTTTCAACTATTGAAGATATTCTGATTCATATGATTACAGTTTTGACATTATTGCGTAATAGACATACATACAACAACAACAAAAATGAAACGAACAAACAATCAATGCAATATAACAATTTATCAAATAAACAAATTTTTTCTCAAATAGAAATTTAAACCTTAACAAAGAAATATACTCAGTAGATGTATGATCACAATAAGCCCTAAAGAATCTTTTTGGTTTCACGTTGTGCCATAAAATGTTTGGAAAATCAATTGATAAAGGAATAAAAAAATACAGTCTTGGCTTGGACAATGGTTTAACATTTATTGTAATAGAGGCATTCAAGAAATATGTTTTCGAACATCATAATGATAAATAATGGCATCAAACACCGTTATTACAAGAGATAACATCACTGTGTGAAAAATTAAGAAATAAGCAAAATCAATTCATGGAGAAATTTTACCGTTTGTTTAATAATCGCAAATATTATTTATTTAATATTAATTTGGAAGATTTTATGGATAAGAAGAACAATAATGATAGATTAACAAATAATAATGTCCAGAAACTTTAGATCATATTACTTATGGAAGATATTACATTAGCTGAATTAAATACGATGAGTGTACATGAATTAAATGAAAAATTAAAAACAGCAAGGTTACCGAAACAAGATTTAACAAACTTTCGACAAACATATAAAAATCATTTGTATGCAAAAAAGAAATAGAACAAGAGTGTGTGTTTATATTTCACTTGGAATTTATTCTCGATTATATAATAGATAAATAAGCCTAATGTTTACAGATTTCCGACATTCAATACTTGTTTCCTCGTATTTTGTTTGTTTTAGTTTCTAATTAAAGAAATATTTCAGAAAGTCAAGAGAATACTAGTTGAGAATGTATAAGTGAAAATTTCATATTCACTGAAGTAGATTGTGTTCAACATTCATCGATACACCATTTGTGAATATAGTATTTTTATTGATAAGTCAATTACACAACAACAGTTAGATGAACAACTATCTTGTTCAAAATGGTGGTTTTTCTGATTCATCATGATCATGTATGCGTAAAACTTGCACATCTTTCTTATCGTCTCGTATCACTGATAGTGACGAGTCTTGTTGATCTTTTGGTATGCGTGATAATGTATGGTGTTGTATTTTTGATGGTTGTTGCTCGTTATCAGTTGTCGTCTCTTGAATTGGTACTAAATTTGTTTTAAATGCGCGTGCTTGACCTTGAAATTCACGCTCATTTTTACCGACATGAGAGTAAGATTGAGGAATCGTTCTTTGACGTGATGTATGTTGTTTCTCGGAATTATTGTCACATGTTTGTGATGATGCCAATGGTTGATTCGATGAAATATTTTGAAATCTGGGAAAAAAAATCTAGTAAAAGGTATATTTTAATAAAAGATGTATAAATCACCTGGGAGTAGCTAATGACGATAATGGATCCATGTTTAGTCGGGTGGTTTTTGTACTGTGATCAAAATAAGCTGTCGGTTGTATACGACCACTATCTTCTAATCCTTTAAGGGCTTTTGTAATAAGTTGTCGAACTGCATCTTTTTCTACAGAGTAAAATAAATGAGAGATACTCTAAAAATTGGTCAACAAAGACTAACCTGTAGGAGTAGATAACATGAGCCAAGATTGAATATCTGGAAGATTTTCTGTTTGAAGTATTTGACATAAAATTTGAATCATCTATTGTATATGAATTATGATACGATTATGTACAGTTCTCTGGTGAATTTTAACTTACCCATGTTTCTCGCTCATTTTCATCTACACAAAATAAATGATTTGGAATAATGGATGATAATGGTGTACGATGGCGAGATGACGAGGCTCTAGCGCGACTTAATGTTCTTGGTACTTCATTCCATCTACCTGTACTGCGACTATATTCACCAGCTGATTTTAGGGGTGTTGTTATTGTTGTGCCATCATTTTTATTTGGGCTATGACGTACCTGTTGTTGGTTATTATTATTTGTCATGTCCAATAGTAAATTAGTGTTACTTCGAAATAGATTCTTGGCCTCTTTCCGATTTTGAATTTCACACATTTCATCTTCTGTTATAAGTCCAACAGTTTCTGCGATACGTGTTAATTCTTTTCGCCAAGCTTCTGTATCTTCAACTGTCAAATACAGATATACACAATTCTGAATTAATGTGGAGCATAACAGGTTAATTCAAATTGTGACTTCTTCGTGTAAGAAATAACTTAGTCTCGTTTCTTTCAATGTGTCAAACACTTATCTAAGCTTAACGTTAAATAGTAGAAGAATCATTACATCAATAGTAGAAGAATCATTACTCACCCAAAAATAAAAGAAAAAAGCAGTATAAACGGAATAATAGAAAAGAAAACTTTTGTATCGCTCTACCTGCAGTACTTCCAGATATCGGAGGCAGTCGTCTTTCACTGCGCTTTTTTGGTTGTTTTTGTTCGGCATATGCTTTGAGCACAGCTTCGTTATAACTATTAGGTGGAAAATCTATTGTTACGCGGGGATCTGATAAAAGCGACTTGACAAAATCAGCTGATGGTTTGGGAGGAAATTGAACAGCATCGTCTCGTACACAACATACTTGTACTCCTGCGGTTCCTAATAAATATTGCAGAGTAAACAATTGAAAACATGTTGTATGAAAATGAATAAGTATTGTTTTTTCTCATCACCGGTAATGAATTTGAGATATCTGGGTTGTGCCACATGTCGAGCAAAGAACATGTTTTTACTCAATTGACCAAATCTACTACTTGTTCGTGCTTGTTCCGTATCAGCCATGCTGGGGAGTTACTAAGTTCTAATTAACAAAAAAAAGTTTTAAGATAACGTGTGTTTTACGCTACTTCGTTGTCTAGCAACTGATATCGATTATTTTGGTGTAAATAATAGAACCACTATTTCAACAAGAGATTCACTTCAAGTCATGAATTCTATCTTATGTTACCTACATGCAAAAAGTTCGCTATTATTATAAATTAACAGTAAAGATACAGTGTGATGCCTTCTCAAGTCATCAGGCTAAATTTTTTTTTGTTTTACATGTATTTAGTTACAAAAACAGACATATATATTTATTTTGAAAGTGCAGCCCGGCAACAGTGATGAGCTTAACAGATTAAATGGTATGATTCTGCAGAAAAAAAAGATTTCGACAGGTGCATGCAAAAGTGAACATAGTTTTGCTATTACGGCTGAGAATAGTATTATCAAACTGAAATTATTTCAATGCCATCTAAAAACGATCTCTATCATAACTCTTTTTTTTTCATAGTAATCTAAAAATTTACTATAAAAGGGTTACATGACTAAGTAGTTTTTAGATGAAACTATTAGATTGATGGATTGATAATTTTCAATTTATGAGTTACATTTCATTATTAGCTTCTATTAACGATATAACGACTCTTGTTTCCGTTTTATATGGAAATTACACTATTGCCAAACAATAACGATCTAGAAATACCATGTTATGAGACTCTATAATCAAAAAATTTCTCATCAAAAATGTTATATGAGATTTTATCACGCATGTAATAATTTGTAAGAGTCTTTTAAAAGTCTTGTAAAATTTCTCAGAAGACACTTTTGAGACGTGTTTATAATATTAAATGGACGTTTTTGTCGAAATTTGTAGTAGTAATATCGGGTGAAGTCATTAACTTTTGATCTGAATCTATTAACTATGAGACAATAGTGACTTATCATCTATTGATCACTGGCTAAAAGTCGTTATTAGAAATTTTTTTTTGTGATTAAATGATATAGTCAATTAGTCCACTGTCAAATTTAAAAAGATCTGCTCAATAATGAAATCTATAAGAAAAGGTAGAGGATCGATAATTTAAGAAAACGAAGTCGATGGAGTAGAAATTCAAAAATCGCTTAAAAGACGAAACATTAACTGTGAACATGTATTTCTTTTTTTTTATTAAACTGATTATCTACTGCTGAGAAGGGACAATATTAGGAACTTTGTTGACGAAATAAATCTTACAAGATTATCAAATTGTTGTCATATGTATGATGAAATCATGTATGCGACTTTTACAAGATTAACATAAGAGCCATTAATCATTGCCTTGATAAACCGATCTATTACTGTATACGCTGCTCAACCGATGTTTGTATTTTTGGCTCTTATTATCACAGTCGGTAGAGGCATCACACTCAGAAAGATTTCTCCGGACCGTGAGTTGCTTCTTGTTGGAGTTATGAGACTTTTCGTAAAAAGTTCTGAAATTGTTTAAAAACAAACTTAAATAAAAAAAATGGAATTTGTTTTTTCGAATATGTCGATCTAGGAACAATATCAAATGTTCATATATAGATCAATATAGTTAGATCAATCGCTATCTTATAGCCAAAGTTATATGTAAATTTGATCTTGTAAATGTAGATCTTTACACATATGCAGACTCATACGAGAAAAAGAGCGAAAAGCGAGATAAAACTGCAACTTTTTGCGGTCATTTTTTCTACAATAAAAGTAGCTTTTTGATTAAAATATTATCTATATAGATAGTAGACTGGTTGGTCTTATTAATAAAGCTAATTTTTCTTCTAACAATTATTGTTTGTGGGAGTTAGTCAAAAGTTTGCTCTAAACGAAAAAAGGATCAATTCAAAAAATCGATTTTTTTGTCCGATATTTCTGAAAATCTTGGCTAATGTTAATATTATGTTAATGATCAGTACTCATATCAGACTATCATACAATGATTTCGAATTTAGGGCCTATTCAACTTTTTGGAAACTTTCTTTCTACAAAAATCTGCAACATGACATATTTTTACTTTTGATTTTATTTCACAGTAGGATAAACAACATGATACCATCTGCGTTTTGAAACTGTGAATGACATTACAATTTACCCAAATGGTAGGATAATATCTGTCAGTGAACTGTTTCTTTATATATACCTGGTGATCTAGACCGAGAAATCGTTATTATTTTATTGCCCTGATGAACAATGGAGAAAGAAGCTTATTTTAGCCATCTTCTTTAGGTCACAAGCTGTTACACTATTTCATTGATGGCTATAGAATATTTGATAAAAGACAGCAATGAATTGAGAATAATAAGTATGTATTAGTATACATTTAAATATGCTCTCATCATAAATTGAAATGCGATTTTTTTAAACAAAAAAAGACAAGTATTTTTCATGGTTCATATAGTAAGTTTGATTCTACTATTAATTTACTTGATTATGTCTTGAAATGTTGTTTGTGAAGTTGAAAATTCCTCTATTATTTATTTATAAAAAAATGAATTTTTTGAATTAAACTTGTTAGAATAACGCCATGAATTACGTATATCATATATATATATTTTATACTTGCAAGACTGAATGGGATGGGATACACACTCCCATTCTCTGTTTTTTATCTCTCAGACGTGTGTATCTATGAGACAGTTTAAAAATTCTATCACTTTTGAGAAACTCACTCGTTGTCTTTCATTTCTTTGATTATGAAGCTCATCAAGTGTAAAATTGAATTGAAAAAGTACTTTATATGATATAGATCAAGTTAAGACAATCGAGGGTTATTTTTCTTCAATTAAATTGATTTTACTAAAATTCTCTATAAATACGATAATATCCTATCTTCCCGTTAGTCGATCATATTCATCAATTAATGATTATATATCGACCTATAAATAGTAAAGAACATGTCAACCTTTTAAATTCTGATGTGTTATTCTTCTCACATATCATCATAATTATTTTATTACCTATTTACTCTTATTTTCTCTTCTTTTTTTTTTGTTCCATTCATCGATATTATCTTTTCCTATCTACGGAAAGTATATGTCATTGTGTAATCTATTTTTCCAAAAGAAGAAGAATATTTATATGCATTTTTAATTCATTGGGTGGTAGAAAAGTAGAAGAAGAAGAAAAACTGATATACTTTTCTACAAAAAAAAAAAAATTCTTTGATTATGATTTTATTATTTTCTATTTCTCGTTTGTTGATTTCCTTTTTCTTATGTTATATATAATCTAATGATATACAATAGTACATTTTTTCTAACATTTCCTTTTCCTATATATTATCGCATAAAACTTTAAAACTCGTGTTATAACCTTGAAAATTTATATTTATGTTTAACGTTAGTATGGTTTTCATCCAAAATTAGTAGAGAAAATATAATTATATAACGTATGATTTTTTTTCGGTTCTAAAATCTAGAATTTCATTCTACTACATAAAGTTAAGATACAATTCTTTACTTCTCATTCATATTGAATTTTGATAGATAAAAATTTTTATTAGTCTAACATTCCTGTCAACAAAATTTTAAAAACTGAATCTGATTCTTCAAAGAACCAACTAGTTTCACCATCTCTAATGTGCATAAGTGGACGAGTATTACATGAAATTTCTTATTATTTTCATCATAAAAATTCTTAGTTTCTTTACAATTCTTATAGAAAGAAGAACCACAAAAGAGTGATTGGAATTTCGATGTTCATTTGGATATAGTGCGTTCATCATCAATAATATTAGCTCACAAACACATTTTTCTCATTCTAAATATTTTTTGTCTGAGTTATTCGATACTAGTGAAAAATAGTGGTTCTATACACACACACACACACAGTGTTAATTGAATTTTTTTATTTTTATTATTTGTTATCCCCTGTTATTCAGCAAACTATCGATTAAAAAAAAAAATAGTGAAGAATATGTTTACTTTTGTTAAAGAGTTCACTTTCATACACGCTCACCAATTTGAAATTGTGAAAAAACATTATGACAATAATAGATAAACTTTTTTCAGAAATATACATAAGATATTATCTATTTATATGATCTGGGTATATAGAAATCTGAAAATCTAGAATGAAATGTATCCATAATAAATAATCATACATCTTGCATGATTTATACAAATTAGTTTGATTATCTATACGATTTAGAACAATTTTTTTAGATTAAATAATTAGTCAGGCGATTCATTAAAGATTATTATAAGAGAGTTTTTTGATTTTTGTTTTATTAATATGTGATACAATTATTTGGTATAGCAATGCAAATCGATAAAAACAATAGTGTTACAATTTGGAAATATTTTCAAACTGAAACATCAATATATTATTCATTTTTTCTATTTTTTCTTTATGCTATTACGTTTCTTGTTGGAATTATTGGCAATATATTCGTTATAATTGTTATTATTAAATGTCGACGAATGCGAACATTAACACATCGTTTTTTATTAAATTTAGCCGTTTCAGATTTAATTGCAACAGTTGTTTGTTTACCACCAACAGCTTATCACTACTATGATAAACGATGGATTTTTGGAGAATTTTTATGTCGATTTGTGCCATTTATGCAAGGTAATATTTGGTTTTCAAAGGTTTTAGGTCTAGATTAGATCAAGAATATCTAGTAAAATTGGTAATTTACGAAAAATTATCAATATGATTCTTTACTATATTTTCAAGTAACTTCTAAACATAATAACAAATTAAGAATACCCTCTCTATTTTTCACCTTGTTACCAAATGCGAAGCACACATTCGATCGAGCTCAAATTTATATCAGAGACAGAAGAGCGAAAAAGGAAATAGATATGTTTCTGTTCAAAATTTTGTGACATGATCTTCTATGGGAGTTCTGGTGAAAACTGGAGTTTTCATCCACTCACTGTATGACTCTTTAGAAAAAATGGTTCGATCGAGTCAAAATTTCCACCACAAATACTCCAGATCCTATCTCAAGTTTTGAATTATCTTTTTCGAAAAATATGCTTTCCTTCTCGAGATATATGAAAAAAATGCTGAAAACCATGCAAAAAAGTCAGTTTTTTTTCTTCATATATGTCGAGAAAAAAAATTATTTTTCGAAATAAAACAAAATTTAGAATCTTAGATAGTATCTGGAGTATCTGTGGTAGAAGAAATCTATAATAATATAGTTTATATTATAAATTTTACTGAAGTGCAATAGATGTGCACGGGCAGTTTAACCTCCATCGCTTTTAATTTATGATCTTCTTTAACAGACAGAATATGGTGAGAGATTATAGATCAACTTTAGTATAATCTATTATTATCTCCAGGGATATAACTAGTGCTTTTTCTTTTTAAAAAGTAATACACGCTACACTTATACTATATGGTGTGAAGATTTCTCTTACATGCTGAGTATTCTAAAAATTCTTAAATTATCTAGACTTATATACTTTTTAGCAAAAAAACAATTAGCAAATAAAATTTGAAGTTATATATTCTAAATGAGTAATAATTTTGCTTTCACACTGATATGTGTGGAAATAAAAACCAGTAATATTGCACCGACATTTTCTTTGTTTGCATATATAAACCTGATTACCACATCATTACTAGTCATCCTTCTTGTAAGAGAGAGAGAGAGAGAGAGATAAATAGATAAAGACCAAAAAAAGATCTCAATATAATTTTTAGGAAAAAAAATAAAATCTTTTTATTTTCATTTTTATCAGAAGGAAAAGAACTAATTAGGAAGATACATGACAAACAACAGAGTATATCACAATTGACAAATCTAATTTTCAAAAATATAAAAAAGAACAACAACATATTTTTATATTTTCTTTTCTGTGTTTTTTCCATTACTAGTAGTTGTCTAATAAGCGAGCTAATCAAGAGAAATTTTGAAATTAACATTAATTATTGTCATTGTTCTGAATATTGAATTTTTCTTATTTTGTGCTTCAATGAAAAGAATGATATAGAAGTGATCTATTATATATGACATTAAACGATCTCATAGAAATTATAAACTATTATATTCTATTTAATTTATACTAAGACAAACTGAACATCGAAAAAGAGAAATGTGTTTGAGAACGATATTGACAATTTTTAAAAGTAATTTTCTCAAGTAGAGATATTATACAAAAAACATTTTGTTAATTTATTCAATTTATTTCCAATCTGTGAATTTTACACAATAAAAAAATGAATACTATCAGCCAACAGCAGTCAGCTTTTCTTCTTTTTTTTTTTTTGTTTTTGTAAAAGCAACTGGTTGGTTCTCTCTTCAATTTCTGCAAAAAACAATAAAACAGACAATTATACGATTTTCACAACAAACTAGAAAAATTTCATAGTACAATTTTCTTATAAGATTTTTATAATCTTTTAGTATTATAAACTGCAAGAAAAACTTTCAAAATTCAAAGGGTTCCCCCTTGTACTTCTGATAAAAGAAAAAAAGGATTTTTTTATTATAATTTGTTTTTTTGTATTTATTTTTGTATAATTCTTTTATATTATTTTTTTTCAATATTATTTATAAGAATTAGAAGAGATTATTTTGTATATATTTCTTGAAGTCACAGTGTGATTATTTAGAGTTACTGTTTTAGAAAGATTTTTTAGAATAAAAAATTAGAAGATTATTATCTATATTCTATACATATCTTTTATAAAATCGACTCTCTAACATCCTATTTTAGTATATCTGTTGATTTTGGTCTCGTATTCCAACACTTAACTTTGAATATATTTTCAAAAATTGCCTATTTTTTGAGGATAGAACACATTTTTAGTTATATATTAGATTAGTGTGGGCTGTCATAGCTTACTGACTAAGATTATCTTAAAAATGAATTAGACTATATAAAATATAATTGCTTTCTTTTTTGTAAAATCACTTTACAATCCACTTGTAAAAAAAATTGAGTTCTTTATAAACTTCTTATGTGTTTTTATTTTAGCAACTGACTTATGATGTACATATTTTGTCTATTTTTTTTTTCTCACACTCTTTCATCCGCAATGCTTTTTCAATTAGATATGCCATTTTTTTGTATTTGTTTGAGTAGCGAATAATAAGTAGAAAAAGAATAAAAGGAAATGGGTTAATATTATTTGGAATATTTATAGTTGATTTTTGAGGTGTTATAGTCTCTTTTTCACTGGAAAATATTACACATTTTATTTTTTGTTCATAATCTAACAATTTCTATAATATAAGTTAAGACTTTTCGTCAATTTATCATGTTTTCAAATGTCATAAATATCTCAACAGATATAAAAGTTCTCTTAAAAATTTAAGGATGTAAATTAATTTTTAAATTCGTCTTTATCAATTGATCATATTGTATTCACTCTAAAAAGGACGTGGTACTGCAGAACATTTTTAAGGACTCGGAAATTGGGTTCCATTATTGAATCTTTAAACGGTTTGATTAAAGAAAAGGTTTCGTGCGAAACTATTTTAGTGTATCAATAAACTTAGTCTATACACTTTTAAAATCAATAGGTTTTTTTCCAAACCATTTTTACATGAGAAATCAGATTTTAAAGAAATCTCAACTATTTTTATATCACACTAATAAACATAGTTTCATATGAAACCTTTTCTTCTCTCGAATCTTTTAAAGATTCAGAAATGGAGCCTAATGTTCGAACCCTTAAAAGATTCTGGAGAACATCTGTTCTTTTTAGAGAACATACGATTCTACAGCGTTATGCACAATAGACAATAAGGTTTACACTTTCATCTTGTCTTCTCCATAAAAATAAGGTGGTCAAGCAATATCTCGAAAGTTGTATAAATATCAGTCGATGGAATATTCAAACAAATTCACAACATTATAAAATAGAAAAACTATTCGTTTCACTCGTACTTTTTAGATAAAAAGCTCATTCGTTCAAACTTAAATTACTAGCTTACGAGAGAATATCTTCAGATGATAAACTCCGATTTCAATGATCTTTTGCCAATAGATAGAGGGTAGTGTCGCAGTAAAAAGCCTCAAAGGATTTCTACCCATATTGCTTCTTTCAAAAGTTAGAGAATTTTTTTGTTTGTCTGCACCATACATCATATAAAACTAAAAAATTCATAACTTTGCAACACTAGCGAATTAAGGTCTGAAATTTTTTGCTATAGTGGTACTAATCGTCTGTCAATAACTCAGAAAGTTTCAGACTTTTAATTCTTTCCTTTCACGAGTTATTTTTTACTAGCTTAACGAAAAGCACGTAATGCAATGTTTTTTGAAAACTATTTTCGATGAGAAAAATAGCACTTTATTCGACAGCCGCGGAGTTGATCGATCACCATAAGGGTATCCACTGCTTTTCACTGTGCAGATGTATTGTAGTATAATATGGCGTTTTTCTTTTGTTTTATATTGTAATTGTAACTTATAGTCATGCTAAAACGCGAACAATATGGATTCAACATTCCTAATAGCATTAACGCTAATTCCTCATCTCGGCTTGTATCGACTGTTGTTTGTTCGGATGCAAAACGTTCGACAACTAAATTTGCTAAAATTCATACAACGCTATGCGAATTTATCATGCTGTTATCGTTGCAATAAAATGGTAACAAAGTTGCAGTCTGCATAAGACTTGAAATTGGCATACTAACTTTTATCCCTGCAATGGGTACAAAACTCATCAGAATCATATTCGATCATTTCGATCCTTCCGAGCGTTTTCAGTCGATCATACCCGACAGAATGTACTCGAAAACAACTACTTGGCAACAACTACTTAACAACTACTTAGCGTCAATAGTATGACTGTAAAATCAAAATTTCTTCGTAACTATTCAACCTACTCTCCATTTCATAGGACAATGGAGTTGGTTGTAACTTGAATAACTTCGAATGTTATAGCGTTTGATAAAGTAATCTTTTCTCTTTCTAACAAGGCAAACCGCACCTCTATACGTGCTTCCGTTAAAGAGTTATTCAAGTTACAACCAACTCCATTGTCTTATGAAATGGAGAGTAGTGCATAGCGAACATTTCTGGAGTAAATTAGACGTCCCCAAGCTCTTTACGACATTTTTTCATGAAACAGCATTCAATTTACGGAAGGTTCCATACCAGCACAGCCAACGGGAAAACGAGAAAGATACTACCTTAGGGCTTTCCGTAAATTGAACGCTATTTCATGGAAAAATGTTGTAAAGAGCTTGAAGAAGTCTCATTTACTCCAGAAATGTTTGCTATACACGACGAAGTTATTTTCAAAGAATTTCTAGATTGAACTTGGGAACTTGGTTTTCTGAGATCTTGCACAAATTAGAAACGATCAAGTTTGAAAAGATATAATTGGCAGAACTGTTTCTGAAAAAACTCATGTCTCTATAATTTTTCAAAACATTGATAAAAAGAATGAGATTACCTTTAATAGATTTTTAAACAAGATTATCTTTTATATAATAGACGTCTTAAAGTATTACAGTTCTTTTGTTTCGATAGAATATTTGAGTGGTGTAGATATTCAAAAATACAAGTCATATCGTTGATGAAGTATGATTATGTTTCTTTTTAAGGAACATCCGTTGCTGTATCCGTATTCACATTAATGGCTGTAAGCATTGATCGATATTTTGCTATACACAAACCGATTCATGCTAAATTATTATGCTCACATAAACGCGTTTTACTAACAATTGTGTTGACTTGGCTATTATGTAAGATATTTCAAATCATAATAAAATTTTTAATGTTCTTTCAATCAATTTTTAGCCCTTTTTTTCTTTTTTAGCATTTTGTCTCATGATTCCGTTAATTATCCATCATCGAATTGTTGATCCATTTGACACTACGATCACAACATGTGCTGAAGAATGGCATCGTGATATGAATTCACGATTAATATATGATTTTGTTCTATTATTTGTCTTGTTCATCATTCCATTAACACTCATGTCCTATTGCTACATAAAAATAAGTTGGTCATTATGGCATATTGATCCACATGTATCACATTCAATTCAAACTTGGTCACAACAAAGGTCAAATCGTTCATCAACAACAATATCTGATCATCCAAATAATCATAATTTAACGATAATTCATTCTCGTCCGCACTATGTTCACTATCCAAGCAACAAACACAAACATCATATCATTGTGGAAAATGGTTGTACAAAAGATGATGAATATCGTTCATTAATACAAAAAAATAATTCACCACGTAGTACAACAATGACAAATTTAACAAGAAAATCTCTATCAGCAACAACTACAACCACTAGCACCACACATAATTCGGCACGTCGATCATCATCGTTGATCACAAACCAACAAAATCATCGTCCAATGAGTTTTGCAGGTCATACAGAACGAAATTATTCGTATCAAAATGTTCAACAACAATCGCCACAATTAAAAAAGTCAACAATCGTTTCATCACAACGTTCTACAAATGGAAGTGTTAATACTGGTGGACGAAGAGGAACAAGTGTGACAACATTCCATGGTAGTAATCGTTCTATTGCAGAATTTGAAAGAGGAAATAGATTTTTACAAAGTAGACGACGAATTGTTAAATTATTGATTACATTAGGTACGTATTCATATACAAATCAAACTGTTTAAATTTCATTTTTTCTCTTTTTAGTTATCGTCTTTTTTATCACTCATTTACCATCAAATATCATTAGTATTTATATTGATATTACCAGCAATACATTTTTACCTGACAATTATAATTCAAATCAAACAACATCATCGACCTTTGTTTATATCGATAATAAAATGATCATAATTCTTTATATTAATCCAGTCTTACAATTAATTTCATTGGCTAATTCAGCCATCAATCCTATTTGTTATTGTATCATGAGTCGTGCACTTACAAATGTCATTGCATTAATTCGTGAACGCTGTCATCGTCATAAGAAAACATCATCGTTAACATTGATTCATCATTATCATCAACCACAACAGCAACCAAAAACACCAACATCCGCTGATGTACCCAAATTCTCATTCAAAGCCTTACAAAGAAATTCATTTGAAAATAACAGACACTAAATACCGAATCTGTATGTAATTTGAAAAAAGTTACATTTCAAATTTACAGCATATAACAGAGAGTATAATAAGTATAACTCACAAAATTATTAAAAAATTTGTGTAGAAAAAAAGATATTTTGAATTATTGTTTTCTTTTGAGAGTTGTTGTTTGGTTGTTAATTAGTTTGATATATTAATTATGAAAACATGTTAAAAAATAAAAAAAACTTAATAAAAAACTTAAAAAAAAAGATAATTCATCGAACTCTTTCGAAATATTTCTTACAAAATAAAAAGTTCGCTTATTAAGTCATTTCTATAATTTTATACTATAAAGTATCGTTTTACATCACCTGGCTTAAAGAAGGTGGGTGCCCAATTTAGATATTCCTCAAACTCTTCTTGGAATTAATGAAGTAAGCAACGGATAAAGCCTGACCAATTCTTCAGTGGAAAACGGTTTGTCCAAGCATGACGCTGTGACATTTTTGACACAGTAATTTGAGCTTTTCTCAAAAAGTGTAAGAACTAGAATTTCGTTCTTGCGCCACTCGACGCAGCTCGCCATACTCTACTTTTGCTATAAAAATGAAGGTATGTGATTAAAGACTCGACTTTTTAGAACCGTTTTTCGGCGCGTGACGCTGTGACAAAAAAAGGCCCTAAATTCAAAGTTCTTCTCATTAAAAGCTAATTTGCTGTGAATTTCGAAGAGCTAATAAAAAGCGCCTCGAGCAAAGGTCTGTAGAGGAGTAAACGAACTACTGATTGCTAAAAAAGAATCTTTCCAATGAGCTAATCATCCCTCAATAATTGTGTTTTATCGTCGTGACGCTGTGACACACGTTTTTCCCAACAAAGTTTGGAGCACTAAACATTTCTCAAAGGATTTCATTTTTACATTGGACTTAGTTTTAGGCATTTAATATAGACTAACGTGAAAATAAAGCTGAAAAAATGTTTTCACTTTCTTCACACAATTTTAAGTTTTAAGTGAATCTTAAAACTTAAAACTTTATTTAAAAACTTTTTTTGAGTCTAAACTTCAAAAGAAGCACACCATCTTGTAGAGAATCGAATTCTCTATCGATTCGTATGACTTTCCATTTTTATTAGGAAAACTGTCTAGGTGAGGAAATTGAAAATACAGTTTTCAAAAAATGTAAAACTGGACTTTTGGTGCTAAAATATAACTTTTAAAAAGAATAATGTGAGATTCGTAATCAGCACCAAAAACTGCATCTATTGATATGCTCCTTTTAGTTCTACTCTAAAATAATTTGTTCAAAAACTTGATCAGCGAAGTCTCGAGTTACGTGGACAAGCTGAAAAGAAGCCACACTTACTGAGCAAGCACAAAGCTGAATTCTAAAACTTCTAAGGTAGCCTATAAACGTTAGAACATATAATTCGAAGTATCCTCTACAAACTGAAAAAGTGTGAGGAAAATCTAAATGGGAGAGCTCCCCTCGCTTAAATGCGATTCTAAACAACTTTTGTACTCAGAGTTTTGTCTCAAAATGTTTGTTTCAAGAGAAACTAGCCGTACGGTGAGGTGAAAAAATCGTTGCTGAGTCAAAAACTAGGAATATTTTGAAGTGTTGAATTTTTTTACTCGTCCTTTCCCAGCTTGTAAAGGATACTTCGAAGTTTATATGCCAAACTTTTTTCGGCTTACTGACATTATTTGGCTGAGAAAAATTAATTACTTAAAAAATGTTTTTAAAATTTTTAGCACGAAGCTATTATTAAACTTCCTGTTCATTCTCCATTCATCGTAAAAACTTGGTTCTTGCGTGGATCGATAGAGAAATGTTTAAAGAATATTTACCACACGAAAATATGTAAAAATGTTTGTTCTTTCCTTCCGATTATTGACTGATTAGTGCCAATTAACGTTAATTTAGTCTACTCTACTAGTCTAAAGTTCTATTTTCAAAATAATAACTAAATGAAAAAGTTCAAGCAATACTTCATGTGATAGAGAATTTCACGGGCTACAAGATGGACTACCTTAAAAATTTTAGAATTCATTTTCGGCCGCTAGGTAAGTCGGAAATTTGACACTATTTTTTTAAGTAATTAATTTTTTTCTCAGGCAAATAATATTAGTAAGCCGAAAATTCTTCAGGACATACACTTCGAAGTATCCTCTACAAAACGGAAGTCTAAGGAAAATATTCATAACTTGAAAATATCGCTGATTTTTGGGGCTGCGAAGATTTTTTCACCGCACCTTACGGCTAGTTTTGCTAGAACCAAGCATTTTGGAGCAAAACTCTGACTACAAAAGTTGTTCAGAATCAGATTCGAAAATTCCTCACGAGAGCTTTTTTCAAAAACTTTTAGCTCTGAAATCTCATCGAGATGATAAAATTAAAGGAGGAGGGCCATTTTGTGATAAAATCCGTTCATTAACTGAATTCAGTTTTATTTATAGAGTAGGCACAATGTGAGTAAGTGAGTCGAACTGGACATCTTCGAAATCTTAGAATTACTCCTCAAGAGAAATTTTGTCGATTGAATATTTTTTGGGCTTGAAACCTAGTAGAAATCGTATTTACTATGTCGCATTTCGTATTCACAAACTGCATTTTTTATTCCTTTTTCAGTCGTTTTTTCAAATTTATTATGAATATAGAAATAACTTTTTACAAAAGTAATATATATTCCAATAGCGCTTGAAATTCTCTGTCACCCTGTACTTTGCCGGCCTTGACTTGCAATTATTTGCTGACAGATATTCAGAATATTGCTAATGTAAGCGTAATTCAAAAATCAAGTACTATTTTATTTTTAGCTTTTTTTATATATGATTCGATAGAAAATTTGGAGCTGATCACCAATATCGCCTTTTTACACTTCCCAGTGCACGTTTGCACGTCGAAAAATTGAAAATACGGGAAGGGTCTTAAAAGCCGAAAAGCTTTGAAAAAAGTTGAACACTTTTTCTCCTTTTTATTTTGAAACTCTCATACAGCTTTTTTCTAATTCAGCGTTGAAAATCGAATTAGAAAATGTGCCTTTTATACTTTTCATATGTAATGTCATTGCACGAAAAATTCCTCTTCAAGGATATCTCCAAAGCGGAGACCTCATCGGAAAAAGTTATCTAGTTTTTTTTGGTAAAAGATAGAATGTTCATTCTTGCGCCATTCGAGCGGTCTTTATTCGAACTACAAAAGTATAACTCGTTTTTTTGAAATTCCTCTCGATTGCTGAGAAATTTCACTTTTGCTAAATCAGGAGCGAAAAAATCGAAATTCTGCCCGTAATTCTCAATTTTCTCCACTAGAACTCGCTTTTTATGCAATAAAAGTATCATATTCAGAGTCAGCGTCAAAAACTGAACCGAATGATATATGATTTGAAAGTTTCCGGTGATTTTCATTTTTGGATGAAAATCTCAGTAAATTTCGAAAAACACAAAATTTAAAAAAATAAAAAATAAAAAATTTCATATGGATTGAATGAGATTCGATTCGTTGTGGAAGCACTAATTTTCATCCGCTGCCTACACTATTACACTTTTTTTTCAAATCTATTAATGTATACCAGATTGTAGCCCATGAAACGCTTTATCAGATGGTATAGTTAGTGAAGTCGCGTAAAGCAATAAAATAACCATAAGATTGCAGCTATGGAGAACCGATCTCGGATTTCCTATACAATAGGAGATCCGAGATCGAATAGAAGATCCGAGATCGGTTCTCCAAAGCACCGAATAGTAAATGCTATTTCGTTTTTTTTCTGCTTAAACGCAATTAGTTTTCAATGTGTTAGATATAGAAATATTGCCGAGGAAAAGAGCTTTCGAGTGGTATATAATAAATGTGATTAACTGTGAAATGGAACAACAAAACTTAGTAAATACGATTTCCACTCAGCGTTGGAACTGTACCGGTCCGATTGAACTTTTCAACCGGCCGGTTAACACCCCTTTTTTGTCGGTTTTTTTACCAGTTTAACTACACTTCAACCGACCGGTTGCCGCCGGGTTTGGAATCACAAGCGAAATATGAATACTGTACAACAAAAGTTCAAGATGTCAACTGGAATCGCCCAAGGGAGATTGAAAAAAGGGGTCTATATACTAATGTTAAAAAGAAAAATATTAAACGACTAATATTAAAAATCGATTAAATATTTTTTCACCTTATTTAAATATTAGTTTGTTCAATATTTTCTTTAAAATATTTAAATATTTTTCCTTTATTTTAAAATAACTAAATATTTTTCTATCTCATTTATCTCATTCTAAACGATGGAACTGATGCCGCAATTTGAATGCAGAACCTGACTTTTGTACCTTATTTAAATATTTTTCTATCTGAATAAAACAAATTTAATATTTTTCTGTGCGACACGAAAAGCTTTAATATTTTTCTGTCTTACAACACGCAAAATATTTATTAGTTCAGATAGAAAAAAGTTTAGATAAGATAGAAAAATATTTAATTGATTTTTAATATTAGTCGTTTAATATTTTTCCTTTTAACTTTTTTCGGTATATCTGAAAAAAGGCAGTAGATCCAAAAATGATCTATTAATTCATTTTACATTTGTCCTATCGCTAGCGAATTTTGTATACAGATGAACACACGTTAACATTTTCTCTTATTATTTTCTTTCCATTTCGAAAACATTTTTGTCCGAAAAAATTCTCTTCTTCATGAAAAATTAGCCAGAAACAAAAGTTTTTCTTCGTCATTAAAACGTAATTAATCTATATTCTTTTCCTACTGAGTTTCATACATCATCAGAAATTTAGTCCGCGAATTTTTCTTGGTTTCGTATTGGGTTGAATTTCGTGCTCAATACCTCACGTTAATACTGAAATAACCAGAACAGGAAGATTTTGAAAATACACAAGCTTAGCTTTCTGCAAAAGATCGGTTTTTCACGATATCCGGACTTTAATCTGCTATGGAATCGACCAGTTTTTACCGGTTGAACTACGCGTTAAACCGACCGGTAAACTGACCGGTCCGGTGTTTTCGAAAAGCGGAACCGACCGGTCCGGTCTGGTTAGGAAAAATTCAACCGGTTCCAACACTGTTTCCGCTAGGCTTCGAGCCCAGAGAATATCCAATCGACAAAATCTTTCTTGAGGAGTAATTCTAAGGTTTCAAAGATGCCCAGTTCAACTCACATTGTGCCTACTCTATGAATAAAACTGAATTCAGTTAATGGGCGGATTTTATCACAAAATGGCCTTCTTTCTCAAACTTCATCCGCTAATTATTTTGAAGTTTTTTCCTAATACAATTTAATGTCCTCTATAGAATTGCGCTAGAATGAACGCTTCATATTTAAGATTGAAGTTTTTAATTAAATTTTAAAATAGGTAAAATAACTCGAAATTAATATCTCTACTGTCTATCAGAGGAAAGGACAGTGCTCGTGAAAAACGCTTTTGGTCAAAGGAATCTTTGTCTGCTTTTTTGACTTCGAAACTTCTTTTTTACTAAATTTCTGTGTGATATTCGATACAGTTTTATGCCGTGATTTGAATAAGCCATTTGCTCTGTTAGGAAGTGCTTTTTTTTAGCTGAGAGAAAAATGAATTCTATGTGAAAAACGTTTCTTTCTTGTGAAGTCCAGGCACTAATATGCATCATTATACAAATCCCGTAGATTCATAGATGGTAAATCGTCAGTTGAAAGAGTATCTAGTTATATATTCAGTGATTCTAAGAGAATCTCACAATCGTGCAATAAACTAATAGTTTATAGTCCGAAAAACTCAGAAAAAGTTAAAAAACCTAGTAAAAATATTTAATTAGGCAAAAAAATACAGATTTGACATGCTGAATATTTTTTGTGCATTCGAACGTTTAGAAGTCCCTGAAAACTGCATTAGCTTCATTTGGTGTCTCAATAACCGCTAGTCGCAAAATGCCAGTCATAAGAATCTGAGAAAATCTAACATCACGACTAGAATATTGAATAATGGTTTCACTTGACTGTTGTTTTGGAAAGAACAGTTTGGGCCAGCTACCCTTATAAAAGAAACAAATGAATTGTTATTTCAAATTTTGAAAATCCGAGCAGATTTTCCAGGGCTTCACTGTCAAAAAGAATGTTTAATTTCTGATTCTAAGAATGTTAATTTCTTTTATGTTACGAAAACATGCGTATGAAGTTTGTATGTTTTTTGACCTGGAAACTTGTGAAATTCAAAAAACTTTCCACTTGAAATAGTGTAATTATCTCGAATAAAACGTTAGTTTTTTACTTTACTCTGGCTATTGCATGCGATATCCGTATATATCTTGCCTTCTATAGATGATGATAAAGAAAAATCTTTTTTTCACAATAGAGAGAAAATAGGAGGAAAAACACACGTATCCACTACATATATATCTATGTTCTTCTATACGCTCAGTTTTCAAGCCCTTTGACGGACAACGTATAGGGTAGTTTCACGCAGCTCCACTCAGTATTGCATGATCTGAAAGCCGGTCAGAAATGACTCGTGTCATCGTCCAGAGCATGAAAGATCACTTATAAATCCATACATTTTAGCTGTTCAAACGGTTCCGAGAATGGCCGCTTATAGATCACAAAAGACGATTTTACCTGTTTTCAAGCGCTCCTGAGTACTTAAATACCAATTTCACTACTACATCTGAATTTTTCTAGCAGTGATGATCGAAAAGAGCACAAAATGTTGCATATATTCCATCAAAAATTTATTATTTCTTATCATATTTTATACAAAGAAATCCTCGTCAAAAATCTTAGTCTCGTATTTCATAAAGAACCAGCGTTGATCCCGGATTCGTGTTTAGACTCAAAAATACTGCATAGTGTTTTCCACTCTTCTAGATGCTTTCTGGAAGTCCAAATTTTTACAAAGATTTCTGGAAAACCGACTCCAAAAGTTTGTTCCGCCGGGTTTGAAACTTCGCGGCTTTTTTCGAGCTGCTTGATTAGTATCTAAGATAATAATATCTCAAGAAGTTCACATGTAGTTTTCGTGGAGAGAGCTCACAAAGTTCAAAAGTAGGTCTCGGATACTGTGGTATTGGAGCTAAATGGTAAGTGTTTTCGAGCTTGTTCTTGTGGTATTCAGGTAGGCTTCAGTGGAGCTTTTATTTGGCTATAAGTTTTTTAGGATTTCATTTTGTTTTGGGTTCCTTGTGATCGTTGCAAAAAGTACAGTTTTAGTCCAAAACAATGGGCCCCCAAACGAAAATTATTTTACGCATTAAAGATGAAAAAGTGGGTATCAGGGAAATAAATACGTAACGCCCGATGCTCTATCTAGCCACAAGGAACAGAGCGCTTCAAGATCTCGTAGTCTCGGAATAGTAGGTTACAAAACCCCTGAAATTCACAACTTATTGCACAGGAAAAACCGCGTTCAGAATAACTTCTCCAGGGACGACTATGGGCTTTTACATACTTGTAGTAGCTCTACGGAAGCATCTAGCCAAACCTTCCCGGCTTTCAGTCGTGTATAAAGTGGGCGGATCTGTCCGGAATTATCCTATAGCGGCCTGACCATGATGCGAATATAGCTCATTCAACAATAATATACAAAATAATTCTTTACTTCGGCAAAGTAAAGCAAAATAAAATTGTCACCATCTTAAATTCCATTTTGTTTTAATTCTGTTAATATCAACATGTGAAGTAAAGTCCTGCCAAATTTCTTTGTATAATTCATACGGTCCATCATAACCTCGTTGGTATTTGCCTAAAAATGGTTTGAATATGGTGTAGTGCACAACTTTAAAATCCGGTCTTAATTTGTACCATAAATTTTTGTATGAACTGTAAACAGCCATATTCATGTTGTATATTGTGGGTAATTCCAGATATCGCAATCGAAAATATTGATTTAAAAATTCTTGTTCAGCCATTATAGGATTATAATTGTCCGGTATATTATAGACACGCATCAGTTCATTGTAGACTAATTTGCTAGGATGTAAAACTATTACACCGGCATTAAATTTATATATGTATGTACCGAACCAATTATCAGTAGCAGCAGCAAATTCAAATCCGGTTCTGAATGGATTCGAAACTAAATGATGCAGATGGCTAATATCATTCATAACCACAGTATCGCTATCTAAATAGATGATTGAATCATATTGTGTAAAACTCCATAGTGTTAATTTTGTAAATTGATCTATAAAGCGTTTGTGTGTTCCTTTTAACGGTGGTTCTATTCTCGCCACTGGCAGTACTAACCAACCAACTTCTTTCAACGCCATCAATGTATTATTTTTAATTTTATCATCCAAATACATCATGTACATTAAATGGTTCGGATGATATTTTCGAATGGAATAACCGAGTATCAATGCACCAAGTACATAATTTTCTGTGTACAATGCACTAAAAAATACTTGACGAGCATAATTTGTATATTGTTGTTGATTAGATAAACGTTCTTCTCTTTGTTCACTAACGGTTTTTAAATTGGCACGTAGTTCACACGAAATAGTATCATGACACGCGTAATCAGAATTCATTAATTTCGAATCGAAACGTGGTTGTACAGACGAATGATAAATGTATATAATAAGAAGAGAATAAAGGATAAATAGAAGTACTTGCATAGAGTACTTCAATTTAGTCCGAGAAAGAAATAACGAACAAAATTTGTTTCCAATAATCGATCGAATATGGGAAACTTTAGTAGTAACAAGACGTTCGTCATCGGAATCGTGTGGACTATTCGATTCACCAAAAAATGGTTGTTGTTCGGAACGTTTGTACGTGTGTCCATTCATTGTTAGATGATTTGCTATATCTAATCAATATTACCAAAATTTCTCTGAAAAGAGAAATACAAGATATTGAAAAATCTTTCAATATTTTATCAAGATCGCTTACTAAGATTTTTGTTCTGGCACAATAGACAAAGGTGCAAAATATCGTAACTCTAATATTATTACGATTAATGGGCAATATAATCAAATTAAAAAAAACGATAACAGTAGTGTGAAGTTAAAAAACGCTGCTGTTATCGTGTTTTTATTTGATATCGTAACTCTATTAGAGAATTTTTTATAGTAGACTTTTTTAGGAATGAGGCATGATATACAAACTTTAAATATTATCATTTAAGATTTTATATTTCTCGATGAGATTACAGCGCTTAGTGATTGATACACATTAATCTATTGAATCACATTTTTACCTTTTGCGTTCAAAATTTTTTTTATTTATACTCTGATTGATGTCATGACTGTTGCTATGTCAGTATGAGCAGAACAAAAAACAGAAAATGTCATCAAATAGTCACCTCTTGATGGCTATGACAACATGCTGAGCAAAATAAGACTCACAATAATATTTCTCAATCATAATTCAAATTTCTCGATCTCAGTCATATTGTGTGTACAATTTTCAAAAGATAGTATCGAATTTTATTCGGTGTTGCTAGCTCGTTTGCCGGAGGTATGACATGAAGAACAATAATTGATTCACAGAAATCAAAATAAGGAATCCATATGAAGATTTTTATACCCTTCACGATTTGAACACGAGTTGAAATTTTTTCTCACATGTGTACACGACAACATAGTCTTGTTTTTGAGAATTCTACGTGTGAACATGTGTGGAAGATACCGGTACGCACGTGAAGAGGCGTGGACAGGAAAAGATTCTATGTATTCACACGTGAAACATTTCGTTGACTCGTGAACTATCGTGGAAGATAACTTTTCATACGAAAACACGGGTGAAATATTCTTCTTCTATGTGATCACGAGTGTAGCAACATTTTTATAAATGTTAATGGCGCAAATTAGTACTTTTTCAAATTTTTTTTAGTCATGAACACAGATGAAACATTTTCTTTTACATGTGAACGTGAAATAAATTCATGTCATCACTCGTAATCACTCGTGAAAAACAGTTGCTATTTGTGTTCACACTAGAAATGATGAATAATTGATCGTTGACGCACGTGAAGCACTTTTAATTGAAGTGCGAATGCACAGGCTCAGTTATTTGCATCGTTACCATGCGTGACACAAAACTTTTTCTTGTATTTACCGGTGAAAGTATTAAGTGAAGTATTACCATATTTGGAAGTAATACTCGACGCGCAAACACAATGCAGATGGATTCAATGTTTGCGTGGCCACTCCTATGAAAAATGTTTCATAGCATGCCATCAATCAAACTCTTCCTTTCCAGTAGTGAAATCTTGAATAGCGAATCTGACACATCGTGCAATAATTTCCTATGTGACAGTTTCGTTAATTTACCGACACTTTTATATAATAGAGAATAGCAAGAAGAGAAGAAGAACTAAAAGGTATATGATGCACAAAACGACAAATTCTGAACGAAAGAGAAGAGAAACTATTCAGACAGACTATAGTTCGTAGTATAGTATCCAATACACAATCACTACAGTTTTACTGAATATAGTAAACATACTAATAGAGCGAATAAAACATAATTTTTGACTATGGTCTCCACATTCGAAAAGATTACATTTTTACTGTGCGAATACCGAACTTTTTTGTTTATTTTTAATGCTTTGTGTATTATCAATCGATAGCGAAAGAATTGATGAATGATTCATTATTCTCTCAACAAGCGAGAGACTTTATGCATTCCATCGCTTGAAACTGTCAAAAATAAAGTGTGTAAATGACACAAATAAAGTGAACGCGAAGTCGATTCCCAGCGACCGTCTAGAATGCACGACGGTGTGTAAAGTACATGTTAAGAAGTGACTGTCTGACTCTGCACACTGAGACCAATGATATAGTCTACTTGTCTAAACTATCTGTGCTGGAAGTGCCTCAGATTGATCAATCGATTGTTCAAATCTAAAATACGGCGATGTTTCTTTTTCACTTTTTTTTATCCGTTTCTGCTGGAAATGACAGCACAGACTACACACTTTCGAAGATTGATCATGATTCCGAAATTACTTTTTCATTTGAATCAGTAGTTCGGAAGAAAAATGAAAAATAAGAAATCTTTTTAACACACCTAGCTCTTTACACATTGAGGTTGACCATCTAGAGAAGGTACACACTTTTCGATATCAAGTGAACGTTTAGAAGATTTACACAGCTAGTAAAACACTTTATTTTTTACAGTGTATAAATAGGAAAAAATAGATGCAACTATGTAAAACGAGATTTGCATAAATACAAGTGAGTACAACCAGGAAACATTTTTATCGCTTGTTGACACGAATGAGAAAAATGTTCTCGGATGTTAACACATTACACCTTTAGCCTAATGTGTTTACACGAGGAGGAAGATAAATGTATACCTTGTTCACAATCAACAAATCATTTTTCACGTGCATTCACCTATGACCATACAAAAATGTATTCAACCGTATTTGTTTAAAACCCATTTCATATTTCTTTTGACGTTCTGAAGACATGAAATTTTAAAAAAAATTCATTTAAACAAATTTTGCGTTCTACTTGCATTTAGGGGAATTTTATTTTCAAAACACATTTAAATGTTTTAAAACCAAAATATTTGATTAAATTTTTGAGTACAAAATACATTTAGATGCCTTTCGTATCAGAAATTTCGTCAAATGCATTTTCGAAATAAAATCAGTTCAAAGATTTTTTATTCTGAAAATTGTTTAAATGTATTTAGTAATAAAGAGATTTGAATAGATTCAGGTACTTTAACTAAAAATGCATTCACATGGATTAATAAAAACAATGCATTTAAATAGATTTATTGTAAAAATGCATTTGACGAGATTTCAAATAGGATGTGAAAATAAAAGGTCTCGGAAGGAAATAGAGACAGTAAAGCTCTCTGGAAAATGTCAGTTAAGCATCTCTGCATAAAAGATCTTGAAAAATTTTATTTATTTTTTTATTCTCCAGAAAAGATCTTGGAATAATTAATTAATTAATAAAAAGTAAAACCTCTCACACCCGCGTATATTATACCTTCCAAACAGTGCAGTCTTTGACAAAACGATTTTTCAATGCGAAACTTTTTCCAACACTTCCAAGCATATGGCACAAATAAAACAAAGAGAATTAGTCCAGTGTTCTAGTCTTGTTGTAATGCTAATTTTATTTTTTTTGGATGTCTTCTTCCCCTACATTTACCAGTAAGTTGTAGCACGTATTATTTAGGCGTGTTGTCTTATCGAAAGACTTTTACACGTCAGTTCATGTTTGGAATGTTCACACGTGAAACTACCGTGAACGAGTTTTTCACGCGTGTTAGAGACCAAATTCACGAAAAAAGCGACAAATTAACCATAGTTAATTTGTTGCTTTTTTCGTGAATTTGATTGACACTATAGTGTTTACCCTTAACTGATATGTATCTTGTGGCTATCCATGAATGGTCGGTCACCCGTGTAAAGCAATGTTTCAACAAAATACTACAAAAAAGTTCCGCGGGTGATCACATCGAACACCCGGTGTAAAGAGGATATCAAAATTTTCACATGGGAAATAGTCGATCTTTGCAGAAAAACCTCGACACTATCTTTTGAAAAAACTATAAGATTCATTGCACGTAAGCCACGATCTACTGCCGTAGGGAGGTGTCCAGACTCAAAAAATACTTCAATTTTTTTCGGTCTCATATGGAAGAACAAACATTTCTGAATAACATGATATTTGACAATTGAAAAAATAATGTATGATTACTGAGCTATGAAGTTTTCAAAAATAGTCCTGACGCAAAAATAGCAATTTGAGCATGAGAGTTCGGTTCCAGTAAAATTAAAATATCGCAGATATCTATTGTCAACCGAGTTTTTGAACATTAAAACCCGATTTTCGTCATAAAAAAACTCTTTCGTCGAAACTAACATCATATTCCTACTCAGCAAAAGTTCGAAGGAGACATCCCTAAAGGCAGTTTTTGATGCTGAGCAGAAATATGACGTTAGTTTCGACGAAAGTGTTTTTATGGCGAAAATCGGGTTTTAATGTTCAAAAACTCGGAAACACACATAAAAAAAAACACATAAAAAACACACACATGGTGGCATATGTGACTAAGGTCATCCGTAGTCTGGACATCAACTTAAATGACTTTTGGGGAAAGCTTCATGAACAGATAACCTTTTAGGGCTTTTACTAACTCAATATCCACTATCGATCGAGATATAAATCATGAAAACGGAGATGGGTACATGAATAGGTTCCCCCATGAGTAGTCATCCATTATTTTTTCAATCGCCAGATATCATGTTATTCAGAAATGTTTGTTCTTCCATATGAGACCGAAAAAAATCGAAGTATTTTTTGAGTCTGAACACTCTCTGTGGCAGTAGGTCGTGGTTTACGTGCAACGGCTGTTAAGGGAAGGACAAAACATGGCTGAGATCAAGAAGTTTGAATTTATGAGTAACGTTATGCGAAGAATCGAATGAGAGCAACATTACATTGAACTATAATTTTTTGTCGTATTATAGACTTTCACTTGTTCATGTTTGATCGTTACAACCCGTCTCTTAAAGGCTGTAGATGACCTGTTTCTGACTGCACTCTAAAAAATACTC